ATTGTGGGTTGTGTTAAGTTTAAAAAGCACACTGTGAGAGGTTGAAGGACAATTATAGATGAAATAAAAGTGTTTTGTAGTTACTTGAACCTTACTTGCCTTCGGAAACTCCAGAATCACACCATCAGAGCCAGTCTCCTCGCATTTTTCTCTTTCCCTGTTTTAATTCCTTTTCTCATTAGGTTTTATTACCAAACCTCCACTGCTGATTTAAAAGAAAACTTCTAAAAGAAAGTTTTGCTTTGTCAAACATTGGCTACACAGATGTACAAGTAATTGTACATTTACAGTGAATATATACTAGTACTTTCAGTGTTGAACTTAATATGTAGAAAAATGTGTGTGTTGTGTATTACGCTCAACTAAACAATGAGATTCATCACTGAAGGACTCATCCTCATGTCTATTTACTATAAAACAATAGATAGATATCGTGAAACATTATAGCATGGCACAAAAAAGTCAATTCCACTGTCTAGCTCCATTTGCCTTTTGTGCAATACAAGGTGCATTGCGTAACTTTTCTGGTGGAGGGTGTCAAATGTTTTTCTCGGTGGAGATGTTATTGCTTTGTCTGGAAGGTTTCACAGTATGGTATTAAACTTTTCTATCTTCATGGAGACCAAACCAGACCAAGTTCTGGTCAGATCTGTGGAGACAACCCCCTGCTCACAGTCAGAATAATTGTTTTTCTAGGTATTATATTTATATTATTATTATATACTTTGAGCTATAAAATCACCCTAATTCAATAAATGTAAAGAAGAGGTGTAATGTCATACTATGAAACATTCTAGGCAGAGCAGGGACTTATCCATAGAAAACAAACAGGTGACAGACTCTCCAACAACTAAAAGTTACAGAGTACACCTTTAAGTAATTGCGGATATGGTTATTCCAAATCAAGAGAGCCTTGGAACTACTCATCTTGCCTACTAAATATGCAGCACTAGCACTATCTATCACATGCCCAATGCTATTTACCGTAGTGCTTATTATTTATAATAATAAAAAAAAAAGTTTTGGAATTGGACAGTGTTTCAACCTTGCTATGTTTACAAGGGATGATTTTGTGACTGCCTAAGAGATACAGAGGTGTTAGTCTAAATAACAGTTCTTATCAACAGCGATAGCTCAGACTGGCTACACAGAGCCTCTGACGAATCGCCATCGCAGTGAATCTCACCATTGGCCCTGTCACCCCCAGAGCCACATGCACGGCCTGATGTTACGCTATTAAAAAGAAAAAGTGCCACATCTTTCAGAGCTGCTGTAATTCCTACTGCCTTGTGCCATTAATTTAGCCAGGCTTTGGTGACATTAGGAGCAGGACGTGGGAGAGGAATGGTGGAGGAGAAGCTGGAGCAGGCACAAGGAAGCCACACTGGAGTAGGTCAAGGAGGAACACGGAGAGAAGGGCATTAGCTGAGGAATTTTATTAACTTAGAAATGAGGCTAGGGGTTAAAAAGAAAGTTCAAAAAGACTGTCACAACAGGCTGTCTCCCAAAATGAATTCCACTTGTAAGTGGACTGCTCATATTACTACTAGTAATTTACCTTTCATTTAAGTAGAAATTTTACTGTTCCATGAGGATTTTTTTGGAAACAGAGATTCTTTTTTATGTTCTTACCTCAGTTGTAAAGTAGAAAGTAAGAGCAGTAATAATACAGTCGCTGCCAGTAGTAGTAGTAGTAATTGAAAGAGTATTGTTAATAATAGGAATAGTAAGGATTAGTGAGACCCATCTCCAGATCTTGAGCAAGACATATGCTGGGTTGATGAGGAAAACAGAAGTGCCCAGAGGAGATCCACCCAAACATGGGACAGAAACATGTCTAGCACAGGAATTGAACCCACAATCCCACCACTATGCCATCATTTCACATAAACATAGATTTGTAGTACTAGCATTAACACCCTCCTTGGGCTTTTTCTCCATGTGATTCTTCATTGCCTGGTTGTGTTTGGAAAGACGCTGTGACCATGCTGGAATAATCGCTTAAAATAGGCCACATTAACCTGCAGTCCTCTGGGGCGCTGGCCTGGTTTAATCCACCACTGCACATCAGCCTGGAAACTGAGGCTGAAGACACACAGGAGTTCAAGCTAAATGCTACTGGGCCACGCAGCGCGGACTGGGCTGATGAGAGACATTGTAGAAAGAAATGCTGTGTTCAGTGATCAGCTCCATAAACTTTTACTTATAAGTGTAACCAAGAGCTGCTGTACAAATAGTGGCAAGCTATTGTGAATTGCATGGTTCTTAGGATTCAAAGAAGCACAGTATTTGAAAAACACTGTGGGGAAAAAGATCATACAAGTAAAAAAATAAAAAAGGTTTATATACGGATGGTTTACATTCTATGGAACAGTTTATGTTGATGGGTTGATGGCTATTGAAAACATAACATTTAGAACTTAAAAGATCACGATTATTAAAGGTCCTATATTACACAAAATTGATTTGCAAGAGCTTTAAACCATGTTGTGTCAAAAATGCTGTTTTGTGTTTTATTTCATTCATACATGTTTGAGTAATCCTTTACTAATAGTCTGTCTATATCTCTAAAGCTCAAAATGCTCTGTTCCTCTTTGTGATGCCATGTAGTGATAGTCAATAGCTACTTTTTATCTTTAGTTCAGTAAAGTTTGGCAATTCCAGAGATGAAATTATCAAAATGATTCTAGTGAAGGTGTATGGAGTTTAAAAATACTGTGGAGCACTTTCTGTATTACCACAAGACACCACAAGTTTCTGACTGAGAGAAGAACTCATAAATATGCACAATTTGTGTGTTGAACATGTGTGAATAAAACAAAATGCCAACTGCAGGTATGTTTGTGATGAGGAATCAATATTATGAGATAGATGTGAAAATAGAGTAATATGGGTCATTTAAAAGGTGCAAAATGTAACTTTTCTGGTGGAGGCTTGCCACCAGCTTTCCTCCATGGAGATATTAATGCTTTGCCTGGAGTGTTAAACATATCTCCATGCGAATAAGCAAATGAGGTCACCAGGCCAAGTTACAAGTCAGTTAATCTGTGGAGAGGCAAACCCGCTTACAGTAAGTATTTTCAAGGTATTTTTGAGCTATAAAGCCCTGTAATTTAATAAATATAAGACAAACTACTTGAGTTTCATACTGTGGAACATTACAGCCAGAGCAATTACATCTCTCTGGAGACAAGCAGGCAGCAAACCCCACCAGAAAAGTTTGGGCACCTTTAAGCCAGTTGCACTGTTTGAAAAGGATCAGACCGTGTCATATTGGTCAAAACTAAAAAGGGCTTTCACTTCCCCAAAAATTATAAATTAAGATTAGATTTGGGAGTTTGCACAACAAAACCACAAGCAAATAAAAAGCATGCATGAATGACAACATGTTGTGACAAGAGGCTGTACTGCATAATTTGATTTTTCCCTCAAGACACTAAACATGACTGGAATATTGTGTTCATAATATTTAGTTTGTCCAGCAGTTGTATCACCTGGTCCTCCATAAACTAGGTCACGATTACAGCATTTATTAAACCAGTGCATGTACAATTATAGCGGCCACTTAAATTGCTTTTGTTGCAACACACAGGCCTTTTCATAGTTAAGTGCCCAGTTAAGTAATGTGATGTTACATGGTCTAGCAGCAAGCTCATTTTACACAGAGTGCTTGTCTTAAATTGGCTTTATATTAGCAGTGCATCATATAAAGCGCGTCATATGGCAACCTTTCAGATTATAAAGTGAAATAGTTACATAAACATCTCTTTTCAGTGTTCATCAAAGGAATGACTTATTGCTTTAATTATATTGATCCATGCCAACTTAATTAACCAATAATGCAGGCTTGCCATTGCCAAGAAAAGCCACTATGACATAATTAATGACTTACTCTCTCCATGTCAGCAGTCCTTATCAGTTCATTATGTGCTTTCACTTTGTGTATTATTACCCCTTATTAGACGACCCCCCTTCAAGACACATGCTATTCACAAGCTTAAAATAGCCTAAAGCAATACCTTTACATTCAAAGTCATAGCAAAGAGATTTATTACAGTTTTTTGTTTGGTAATGTGAGACTGAGAAAGAAGCATTTTAGTATTTTGAGAGCACATTTACCCAACAATGTGGTACAATCAATTACCTAAATGATAGAGGTAAAAAAGTGGAGGTATTGCAGTAATTGTATTCAATATAATGCAAAGTCTATTTATTCATTCTTCATTCTTCTGTAACTGCGTAGCAAATTCCCCTTTCACTACGCGCCTTGAAACAGCAAGCACAAGGGAGAGTAAATTATAGATAACATTGGATTCTTGCTGTATACTGGTGAGGCGTATTATATTGGATTTATTCCTGCCAGCAAAGACAATCTTATCACGGTATGCATCGCCATAATTTCACAGGTCATAATCAAAGCAAAATCATACAAGTAAGAAAGGGTGAAGGCAATGACCCCAAACTCACAAATGTATTTCAATGGCTTTTGCTTCTTAACGCTCCCAGGCAATCCGCATATCAAGTGAATCACAGAGATCCAGTCAAATGCGTGTCTACAGTGGCATATTTTCTAGTGTGATTCTGACCCAAATGCTAATGATAGCTATTAAGGCTTGGCTGGTAAATGACATCCAGGGAGCGGTGAATGCTCCGTGACCGACTTGGTGTTTGCATGTGTCTGTGATACAGTAATGGGATTTACACGGTGTACCTAAACCCACATTCAGATCAGCCCAATGAGGCACAATTAAAAATACATTGATGACAACAATGTTACTAGAAACACTGTTAGGAATTCCATAATAGAATACACACAAACTTCAGATTGGTTTCAAATGGAAAATATTATTTGGCTATTAAAAACTTAATTGAACAAATGAGAAAACCCTATTCTTGAACTTTTTTGCTAACCATAATGAACGTTGGTAAACTGCATATTGCTAACAGATAAACAACAAACTAGTGCATAATATAAAGGTCAAGCGCATATGTAGCCTCACCTGTATTGTTGCGATAGGGGCCAGAGTCAGGCCCCTGGCTCTGGCTCAGACTCCTCATAGGGCCTTTGTTGTGGTACACACGCTCTTCATAGATGGGGTCTATGTGGTGTTCTGGAGAGCCTAAAGGCCGAAGGGGCTCCTGACTATGCTGACTGCTGTAAGAGCCGCGAGAACCTGGAGGAAACAATGGGGTAAATCTGATCAACGACTGGAAGAGGGATGTCAGACAGGTTTAGAAGTGACGTATGGTGCAACCCAATTATTTTCCTGGAAAATATCAGCATCAAAATACCATGACAGAAAACAAACTAAAATGTAGATGCACAGTGGACAGCATGAAAGCAAAAGAGAGGGATGCCACAATGTCTCTTTGTAAAATCTCAGAGGAAAACAATGCCGGTCGTCAGCTCTAAAATAATGAGATGTCGTCTATCCCCTTTGGTCTGTGCTGGCAGCAGTCCCAGATCCCAGGGCGAGAATGCAATGACATTACAGGAGTATAGTGCAGCACAGATGTATGATATATGGACCTCAGAGAAGAATCCAAATTAAATCGAAACAATAAAACCATTTAGGAGACACAAACACTGAAAACCATGGTATCATATGACATTAGAGCTTGTCCAGTAGTGATGGTCGCGTGCTTCAGTTTCTCTATGTTCAGACAGAGGGGTAAAAAGTGCAGAGCTTCAAGAGTCATTCAAAGCTTGGCGTTTATCCACCATCAACTTAACACGCTCTAAAACCCTTCAGCCCTTCAGATCCAATCAGAAATCAATGCATGGGAGGCGGTCAGGCTTTCTGTAAAGGCCAAGTCCACACATACACGTCAAAGCTACACCACTGTGAGGGGAACACAGGGTTAAAACAAGTTTTTAAAAGAAGTTTTAAAATGCAACATGTCTCCAAGTGCAGTTAGATATTACAAATCACTGACTTGCCTCATTATTGCAGATGATCCTCAGGGATAGGCATCATTCACTTTGGTTTGCTGATCAGTTATTTCATTGTGTTATATGTAAATCTCTTGCTTCAGCTGCTCCTTGACATATTTCTACATTGTTGGTTTATTGTATGCTTAAAGGTGTTTTATTTCAATTCTCCTGTTATGAAAAATAGCGTTAGACATCAAGCCTCAGTAGATATTTTGACATGGCCATAATCCGCATATTCTGACCAGATTCACACTGTTATTTGTATGACTCATTCACACTTCTTTCTTTCAATAGTTTAGCTTTAGATATCTTTTTGCCTCATGTTTTACTTCTTTTTATTTCAAAGCACACAAGGGCCCAGTGGTGGACGCACTGACCTCTTTCTTTCAAAGAGGAGAAAAGTTTATATGATGAGGTAAGAAAATGATAACCGAAAACTAGACAGCAAAAGAGAGTGTTCCCATGATGGTTAAGTTTGAAAAAAAAAAAGTATAAACAATCACTGCTTCCACTCCTCATCATCGTGTGTAAAACATCACATCTCCTAATTTAATAATTAATCAGTGCTTTTAAGTACTGTGTATTTAGCCCACATCCCTATTTTGTACTTCAGACATTTGATTAAAAATAACTTCAAACTAGGCAACATTCACTCAGCCATTACGCAACTAACAAACTTCTGTTTCATCATGGCTATTTTTATTTTACCCAGCTTGTGAAGAGGATACTTCAGAGCCCTTATCTGGTATCAAAATGGTCTACTAGAGCTGCAACCATCCTCATTCCTGAGTGAGTATGGCCTCATGCCTATAATGAAACAATTGACTAATTATATCCCTGAATAATAGTGGTTTTTGGCAGGGTTTGAGAACTTGCAAGCTCTGAAAAGCCAAAGCATACACTGTACATGTGAGCTAGGCCTGCTAATTACAGTAGCGTTCTTAGAGATATTTTCCTTTGGGACATCCGGTTCTGTCATAGCGTTTCTCTCCTCATTCACACACTGCAGTGAAACCCCCGGCAAAGCTTTAAGATCACAGCTAAGCCTCTGGGGGTGCAGCGTGAAGGTCATGTTCTGCATCAATACAGCTGCAAGTTTAAAGGGCTAATCAATGGGTTACTACAAGCTACAAAAGACTTCCACCGACTTTGATCAATGCTAACCGCACTAAATATTTCATCTTAGTTTACAATGTACAAGAAAAACATTTTTAAAATTTTTATTTAGCACATATTTTTAGTTTATTATTAGCTTGTCTACATCTCTAAAGCTCAAAATGCTCTGTTCCTTCTTGTGGTTTCATGTAGTGATAGTTTTTAAGTCAATAGCAATTTTTACTTTTAGTTCAGTAGAGATTGTCAATTCCAGAATTGAAAATATCCAAATGATTCTAGTGAAGGTGAATGAAGTTTAAAAACACAGTGGAGCACTTCGTGGATTACCACATGACATCACAAGGTGGAGTGTTTTCTTTTTGAGAGAAGAACTCAGCCTAAATATGCAATATGCAGGGCTTTCTATTATTATTTAGTTCATATTTTTAATCCATTCATACTACAGCATCTAATAACCCATTTTTTCATTTTTTTCATTTTGAGCATGTAGTGATTTGTGTTTTCATTTGCAGGGATTTTATACTATAACCTTGTATCATTGTTTTTCTTTCAGTTAAATTGCTTGTATCTACTCAAATGTTTTGTTGACATGAGGAGGTGAAAAACACATTTCTAACCCACTGTTACTTCACCACTTGATAATAGCTATAATACAAACAGAAATAAATATGTAAGGGTAATAAAGGACATAACAAAGCCAAGTGACAAAGATGTAATTTGCATAGAGAGAAACAATGCATATTTTTCAAGGTAACCCACAGAGCACTTAATAGTATAAAGAATAATTCCTTCTTATTGTACAGCTAAGAGACACAGCAGAGGGGAAGGCAGGATAAGCTGTGTGTTCATGTATGTGTGTGTGCAAGCGTGTGCGTGCGCGCGCGTGTGTGTGTGCATCCATGTGTGTGTGTGTGTGTGTGTGTGTGTGTGTGTGTGTGTGTGTGTGTGTGTGTGTGTGTGTGTGTGTGTGTGTGTGTGTGTGTATGTGTGTGTGTGTGTGTGTGTGTATGTGTGGTCCCACCTGCCAGGCTCCCAGGCCGCTGTAGTGTGGCCGTAGCGTAGAGCTCGTGGGAAATCTTGTACTGGTCAGAGGCGTGGTGAGCTGCCAGCCGTTTAGGAGACAAAGTGGCATAGCTCCCTATGCCCGAACTCATCTGGAAAGGCAAGTTTTAAGACTGAGGGACTACAATACAACATAGCTTCATATACACAGCGTGATTTTGATGATTTAAAATACAAACTAGACTCGTGATACTCCCAAACGATTAGTATTATATCATTTGAGAAGCATTTGAGAAGCAGCTTAGTAAATTAGCCCCAGTTGTACAGTACTACTGCTGATTGGGGACACACAACATGAATCTATCAAATAGGATAATTAACTTACCCCGAAAATTTCCATATTTAAAATCAATTATAGAGATCGACTGATATGGGCTTTTTCATGGCAGATGCCGATTAAAAATTGTTTGGAATCCAAAGCAACCAATGACCGATATTTTTTGGCTGATATGTAGAGCCACTTTTGATAATTTTCCCCAAATGATGTTATTTAAACTTACTACAAACTCACTTACAGCCCTTTTTTTTTTAAACAAAACACCTTTAAGAGAGAGGTGTAGTCATGTTTTATGCAGCTATCTCTTCATATTAAAGAGTTTATATAAAGCTTTATGTGCATTTTTTTTAGGCAGGAGATTGACCAAAACAAAATATCGACCTATGTTGGAGATTTCAGCTGCTTAAAGTCCAAATATCAGCTCTCTAATCAATAATATATGCTCTATGAACAAACTCCAGTCAATGCATGCTCTTACAATTTAACCAAATTTATTCTAAAGCACTACATAGCTATACAATTAGGTTGTTTTTATTGATGTGACCCTGGTTATGTGAGAAGACTGTAGAAAAAACTGACTACTTTATAAACAGAATATTATAAAAATGTGCCTAATACAAGTCTGCAAGTTTTGTTTTTGTTTTTTTTTATACTATGAACCAGATATCATGTGTTCTTAATAAAGATTGAATTGAATTGAATTGAATTCTGCAAATAGGAAATTCTGAAAAGACATCACAAAAAATCAAACCTTACCTGGTGAAGAGGGGACGATGAAGCACTGGCCCCTCCCCCTGCTGCAGGCGAGTTGGAGGGAGGGGATGCCACCCTCAGGGGAGACCCACCCCCTGATGTCACGTCCACTGAGGTGCTGGAAAATAAGAGGGTTTAGAAATACTATATAATACTGGTCATATAGTATGAAATGTACTTAAGTGATAAAATGAATTGTGTTTTTGCTCCTTTTTAGCATTGACACAGTGAATCATTTGTTAATTGCCAATTTATATTATTTCAGGTGCCCTTTATACTGTTTTAAGGTGACCACACTGGATTACAGTATTGGATAGTGTATTGTTCCTAATCCTATAAATGTAATTCAGATGGATCAGACTATAGCTCCTCATAGCAGGGGCAGAATATGAAATCAATATGGCTTTTAAAAATACAATGCTGGTACCTGTAAGACTTGGCCAGACGGTTAGCGGGAGACTGCTTGTTGGGGGAGGAGGAGGAGGGCAGGCGCTGAGTGGTCGAGTAGCCTTGCGTGTCTGAAGATGATCCCAGGCGCTGGAGCTTACTCGGGGAACCAGACCCTGACCCTCCCCCTGTGAGAGGAGAGCTGACACGCTGGGCAGGCAGAGTCGAGCTGGAGTAGTAGATACCTGAAAACAGAAACATCATTATTTGCTTGTTATAGGACTTTCTGACGGGTTGTGATTGTGATCAGATTTGTAATATATAGTTACAAAGGATACTGTTCAAAGTGCATATTATAAACAACACTGAGAGAATTTGAAAGAAGACTGAAAATATGTCTAAATAGGTCTAAACTACAGGTAGAACTAGATTTTTCTATAAAATAAGACCTACAAAAAATATATTGTTCTTTGCAGAGTACATTTGTTTATCCAAATAATTACAGCCTTTGTGATTTGATCATTTTAATTTGATATATTGTGCAGCACTGTCATAATATAATACAATATATCTTTTTCTTTGTTCACACATGGACCCATTTGTTAGTGGTTCAATTCCAACTGCCTCCAGGGCATACTGACACTGTGTCCTTGAGCGAAACACCTTCACTGCAGTGTCTGCCTACACAGGTGTATGAATTTATATGTGGGTAGGTGAATGGTTCTTGCCTGTAAAGTGATTTAGTGCCAAATAGAGATTATTTGAATTTACCGCAACATTATAATTTAGTTATTACGGTACCCTGTAATAGTAAGGCATAATAACCTACAGTTCAAAGTTATGTTAACAATAGTTACTGACTAAGTTAATTAACAATATTAATTGATTCACAAGCCTTGATGTTCTTTTTTGTATTGGAAACTGGTTAATATATGAAGAGCAAAACAACAAAACAAGACTCACACTGAAGTGCTAATTAGCCTTTTGTTATGACATACAATGCAATAAAAAAGGCTGTCATAAACTATTACAATTAATAGAGGCCAAAGATGCAGACGCAGATAGCTCTTAGCATATTTGCACTTTTAAATGGTTTTAGCAACATACAGAAACTTGGAAATAATTCAAAACACAAAAGCAGTAAGTAGTAGTAGTCGTAGTAGTAGTAAGCAGAGTAGTACGCTTTCACTCTTAATAAAATTCAAATGCATGTCTGTCAGTGTCTGTGCATGAGCAAAATGCCAGAAGAATTTAAAATAAACCTGGAAAAAAAAAAAAAAAAAATGGTGGAGTTCTTACCTGACCCTGCCCCAGATTGTGATTGTTGCTGTTGGGCTGCACGACTCGAGGTCACCTGGAGGCATTCAGAGAGAAAGAGAGAGAGGGATGGACAGATGAGTAAGAGAAAGAAAGAAAGAAAGAAAGAAGGAGAGAGAGACGGTATTAGAGGCAAGAAATATGATAAAAGAGAATATAAAGTAAGGGACATCAAAAACGTTACACACAATGACTTGAGCCAGGACTTGGAGGAGTCATGGATGAACCCAGGCAAACTAGTAATGAAATCCCAACAGAAAACCAAAGACTGATTCAAAGAGACTTGCAGAGATAGACCAGAGAGACCTGGAGCACTGCTGGTTGAATTCAAATCTTTTAAGCTTTGTTCACCACCTACTCTGCCTGTAATGTCTGAAAACTACTTCACCCATCACAGTTAAAACACCATTATGTGAATTTGAAAATAAAATCATTCCAAAATTCCAAAAGATACCATTTCCACATTGATCGCTCATATTGATTTAAGGTTTTTAAAATTATCTTTTCTATGTGTGTCATGAGTATAAACCATCCGTCTTGAGTTGTTTTAATTTGAGGCAAGATTAAAAATAGATAAGTAGAAAGAAATGCAAATCTCTGCTCATCAGTTATTCTGAAATATGCAGTGAGTTCTTACAGAGGGAAAAGTAATGTGCCGGTTTGTGAGGCAAAATAACTGTGTTACAAACTGTGCCTTCAAAGCATCACACACAGCTCTATCCTAATATACTCCAGTCTCCGGAGATAGGGAGGGAAGCATATGCCCGAGGATCATCAAGACATATTTAGCCTTATGCTGAAGCTGAAAGGAAAGGTGATTGACTTGCACAGTTCACACAGATATAGTCAATTTGGAGTCACTGCTTTCCAATTTCAAGGGCCCAAGTTACGTTATTTTCTGATCTACGTTGTAATGTTGTTTCCTCATCAAAAACATAGCTGGAGTTTTGTTTTGTTTCATGCACACATTTTTAACACACAAATCCTGCATATTTAAGATGATTTCTCAACCTCACGATGTCATATGGTAATGCAAGAAGTGCTCCACTGTGTTTTTAAACTTCATACACCTTCATTAGACTCATTTGGATAATTACAGTCCTGGAATTTCTTCTTTCTATTAAACAAACTGGTAAAAGGTAGCTGTTAACTTTAAAACTACCACCTCATGACATCAGAAGGTAGAACAGAGCATTTTGAGCTTTGGAGATGCCTACAGACTAGGGTTACTCAAACATGTGTGAATGAAACAAAACACAACTCCAAATATGTTTTACATATATATGTTTTTGAGGTAAGGCTCATGAGGGTCAATTCTGCTTAATTTAGAACCTTTAATGTACCTTTCCATTCCAGTCTATTAAAAAACCTGATTACCTTACTTATATTGGTGATTAGTGAAGTTATATTGGTTTGCATAATGTTTTAAGGTAAGATTTAATTATAATGCTACAATACTAATTTAAAATAAATATGATTACATGCTGTATGTTTCACCACTGTGGCTGTTTGAAAAGAACTGTAATACTATTCAGAAGAAAATAATTAGTTGTCGAACCCTGAACATAGTGAAATCCTTTATTCATTCAGATCCATCTTTACTTCATATTCCTTTGCAAAAGTAATAGTGTTGTACTGTGGCATAGTTTGACCTTACATAAATGTAAATATTGAAATAAGTGAATGCAGTTATGTTTAAAAGATTCCCTAATTGTATCCTAAAAGTTTAATTATGCCCACAGTAAATGCACATTTTGAACATCATACAGTACAATCATCTTGTTTTAGCGCATAGGGACAAGGGTTATTAGAAAGTGTAATATTAAAACAGTCAAGGCTCTTTTCTTAATAGTCTCTACACTATAAACGTGCTTAAAGAGGCCCCCTGTGTTGGTTTAGTAGGTTATGAAGCCAGGAGATGAGACTCAAGGCACAAAAAGTCTAGGAAACCGATTAATGCTTTATGCGTTGAACACTGCAGCTGTGCTAGAGCCATCAAGATGCAAAGTGAAACATAAATGGACTTAAGAGTCGTGGAGGGAAGTAGTGAAGAAGGATGGATAGATGGGTACACCATTCAGCAGCTAAATAAATGATGAACGCAGATGAATTGTTGGCTGGCTTAACTAATACACAGAGCCCCTGACACTGTAAGAGGCTGAGAGCTGTTTCTTTGTCACTGAATGGAGCTGGGTGTTCCTCAGTAAAACAATAAGATGTTTGAGGTGCCGTGTATTCATGCATTATTAAAAGTGCATTGTGCAACTTTTCTGGTGGGTCCACTACCGTATTGCCATTGGAGATGTTATTGCTTTGTTTGGAATATTGCATGGTATGACATTAAACATTAGCCAGGCTGGCGCCACCTAGTGCCGCCGCTCGATTTTATTTCTCTCCAGCGACTAGGTCAGGAATCGTAATAAACTAGATGGTTTGCAAGAACCTCGGAAGTTGTAGATGGCGCACCAGCCAATCAGCAAAGAACTGTGAAGCCATGACGTCAAACTCAAGCACCTGTCTGGGTCCCTTTTGTGGTACAGTACAACAGTAAACAAAGCAGTTGAGATGGATGTAGACTAAGACATACATTCTGTGTTGGCAACGATTCCCCAGATCAAGGATTTAAAGCCGGAACAAAGAGAATATTTGGTGAATTTTATCAAGTGGAAAGACGTTATTGCCCTTCTTCCTACGGGATTTGGGGCATAACATACATCACGACAAAATAGCAATGACTGGTTAAATAAAAAAGTATCTGCCTACCGCCTGAGCAAATGAATCAGGCTAATTAAACATATCCAGCTAGCATTTATTCATTACAGGAGTTTCTATTGGTCAAAAACACAATAATTCCCCCTGTGAATGAGGACAACTATCCACAGATCTGAATTGTAATGTAGCATAGTGCTGTAACCTGCTTGTCTCCCTTGTCATAGATTTAATCTATATCCACATTTTTATCTAATCTGTACTGTGGAACATTCTAGACAAAGCAATAACATTTCCATGGAGATAAGTAAGTGATGGACCCTCCACTAGAAATGCTACGCAGTGCACCTTTAAAGCAGGTCCTCTCAGGGTTATAAATAGTACCCCCCAGCGAAATGGAAACACTGACAAATGTACTCATGCTGACTCAACTTTCTCAAGTATCTTCAGAGTAGTTCATTTCTAATTGTGTATATAGGAAATCCCCAATCAATCAGTTTAATTTATCATGAGTCACTTATGGTGCATTAGTTCCACTATAGCCTAAAGCTATAGTATAATCTATCTATCTATCTATCTATCTATCTATCTATCTATATCTGTATTTATATCTATATCTTTGGTCAAATTAGCAAATTAGTATTTAGTTTTGACAATAGTTTTAATATTGATTAGTATGTGGGAGAAACATTTTGCCAACCCTACTGACATACTAATATAAATGGCTCATATTTGTTTTGAGATAAGTTGTGATGAAACAGATGTTTTGCAGGCGTAAGTTGTAAACATACTGAAGCAATAATACACAGTGAACACAGAGACATATTGATTTAAATGATTGCATGTTTTATCATGCCAGTGACAACCCCAACTGCAATCCCTGACATTCAAAGCCCTTATAATGAATGCCCAAAATAACATGTATTGTCCATATATGTGTTTTGCACCTGGCTGTCAGCACCAGCGGCCTGTGTAGAGGGCTTTTCATGAACAACGAGCCCCGCTGCTGACAAGGCTGCCCCCATTACAGTGACAAGCCAAAAACATCAGCGCCAGAAATACACACATGCACACACACGCACTCATGCACACACACACACACGCGCACACACACACAGACAGAGATGATGAGGAGAGCGGATGGGGCAGAGGAGGAAGGGAGGAGGTGTAAAGGGCAGGACATACACAGCAGAAATACGAAACTACAAATGACTTTCATACAATAGGATTTCCTGCGTGCTAGTCTCTGTATCGTTTGCATTTCAATTATGCTAAGTAAGTGTCAGAGAATGGACTATAGGGGAAGGCAGCTGCAGGTAAAATGTGTTTTGAAAGACAGCTTGTTTATTTTTACTGCTTGACAAGCCACAAGCTATAGGGCAGGCAAACATGCTAGCATTTGTCTGGTCGTAAATGCAAATGGCTATTAAATGCAGACAGTAGAGTCTAATTGAAACCAAGGACAATGTAATAAGGTAAACACAGATATTCACCTAGTTAAATTGTATGCCTATGTAATATGCAAAATGTTTATCACTGTAAAAGAAGCAATAATGTAGCATCAAGCTGTTATTTAAAACACTTCTTTCTTCTTTAAAAGTTTTGGTATTAGCTGGGGAATTCGCAAATGCCATAGTACGCCATTATGTGTTAAACTTTATAGACCAGAGTGCCAAAGTTCATTCATGAATAAATCTGTTAATGTTGTTAATAGAGTTTTCAAAAAATCCAATGGAAACTATATAAAAGTGCCTAATTGCCCAAGCCTGAGGCAAAAGAAACAAGTACTTCAAAAACAGTCTACTCAAGCACTTCAAAGATTGATAGCCATTCAGAGTACACAAGTATTATTGATGCTACCCATCTTCTCTCAATTTTATTTTACCAGCACACTCTTAGTCTCTCCCATATGTATCGATGGGGTCCTACCTGGTTGTAGCTGTGCACGGCTCCCCCGACCTGCCCGCTGCGCTGAGGGGTTGCTGCGGAGGAGATGTTGTCACTGAGGGCGAGGGTCTGGTTGCTATGGTAGCTGGCAGAGTACTGGAGCGAAGCCTCCGGGGTGGAGTTGAGCTGCAAGGAACTCTGGGAAAGAAGAGCTGGTCCTATAAGGGAAAGAGTTGGGGGCGGACAGGCAATAGAAGGGGAGAGACGAGCGATGAGTTTAGTTTGTCAATATTTGAAAGAGTACGCAAAAAAGATACAAAAGAGTAAGTTGGTGCGAGCAGAGAGGAGGACAGATTAACAGTGAGAGAAGACGAGGGAGCGATTGAGAGGAAAATGGGAGAGAGAGAGCGGCAATTTAGAGCAGATAGTGCAGCAGTGCAGCACTCTGTGAGTTGGAGATGGCATACATAATTTATTAGCAGAACGAAAGAGGAGCAGAGGAATATGGAGAGTATAGGAGGAGAGAGAGAGAGAGACAGAGGATGGATTGGATGGCAGGGCTTGGGCAGATAAAAGTTGTAATGGACTAAACAACTGACAAATAAAGTACTGTCTCTGAAAAGGTTCATTGTTGTGGTTGTAATTCTGTCTTTGTTGTGCTTGGTTTGACCAATTAGTAAGTAACAGCACTGAATTATAGTTTTAACTAACCTAGCAATTGATTTAGCACGATAATGAAGGAATAACAGTATATCTGAAATGATTTAGTACACACACACACAGAGTTCAAACTTTTAGAAAACTCTGGAATATATCACTGAGGTAATACATCTCACTATATGCAGCAGGCAGTTGAGTGAGTGAACAGTTCTATTGGTCAGATGTGTGTGTGTGGGTGTTTGTACGGTTTGCTTTTATTGAAGGGCAGTTAGGTCTATGACCTGTGCTCTCGGCGGTGCATAAATATTTGATCAAGTTGCCACTTTTACTCTCTTTCCCTCACTGAATACATTACAGAGCATCCCTGTTTTTACAGATGGCAAACGAGGAGCAGCAAACCACCATCACTTTGTCGAACTTTAAAATCCTTGTCTTTAAATATATAGAAAATGCGTAGCTTCTTCACAAACCCTATATAACAAATGCTCCTTATTATTCATCTCCATATCTCTATATCCCCTACACTCTGCCAGAATCCTTTTCAAACTATGAGTCTTAGCGCTGTGAACCAGGATCAACTCCTCTGCTTCTCGCCCTCACAAAAGACTCATCTTTCTCTTCCTTGCTTGCTTTTTATGAATTATTAATCAGCACTTTCAGTTACACACACTCAGTGGGCTCCCAATTTTATCGTCAGTTGTGGTGTTTGTTGCAGTCCTGGCTAAACTGTATCAGTCACACCATATGATGTAAGTGCAGAGTCTGTCTCTGACAGGAAAGTCATCAAGTATGTAGAAATGTGCCTGCATATGAGACCAGCTAGTGCCAGACACCACATTATGATGACACTAAAGGAATGCAATATCACCTTCATAATTAGTTTACCGGTAACTAAATGTTTGTTTGAAATTGAGTTAGACAATACTCATACTGACTCAATCCATTTCATTATAATGAAGGGAGAATTTTATTCTAATTTAAATTGAATACACAATTAAAAAGTTTTGAATTGAGTTGTACAAAGCCTTGCATTGGCTAAACATTTTAGTAAAGGTTGTGTCTAAGTTGGTTTGTTCCTTTGTTGTAACAGTGCAATATGAAAAAATCACTGCTGTAATGGAAGCTTTTTATATTTTGTGATTTGGCCAGATCAATAAAATGTGTGCACATACCTGTTTCACTATTGGTAAAACTGCAAAACTTATAGTACTGTATTTGGATTATTTGTCTCTGTTCTAACTAATAAGAATAAAATATACAGAAGCTAAACTTCATTGTATTTTATCATGAATAAAAAACAAAACTTGTGTCACATTGTGGTGAGCGATATGTGCATGGCCCCTTCTGAAATGCCATCCATTAAAGCAATATCAACTATCAAAAAGGTCAGCAGACAATAAGTGAAAATGGGAATGCAGTCTTCCAAACCAGTGACCTGCAATGAAAATGCCAGCCCGCGCATTTAGCAAGTGCCCATACAACAGCCTGTATGCCACTCACGCCTTTGATTTCCTCAGAGTATCGCAACACTCAGCCATGAAGAGCCGCAAATCACTTTAAATGGACTCTAGGAATAAAGCATGGGCACTTTATTGTACAACTAATCATAATATTGGCAGCTTGTCTTGACGTAAACTGTCCACGATCCACGTGGGATTTGATGCAAAGTGAGGTGTTTTGCTTATTCTGCTCACTCTCCTTCTGATTTTGGCTGATTAACAAAAGAGTGGTTTTACAGTTGTATTTTTTACATGGACGTCTGTCATAATAATTACTATATTGACTTATCATTCAGTATATATTAGATAGAACAACATATTTTGGGTCAATTTTTTTTCTTTATACTAGCGAGCAACTTTTTGGTTGAATAAATCATTTCTATGACTCATAGATACAAACTAACTACTAAAGTGATTAATTCTGATATTTATTCACTGCAATTTGTTTTTTTAACTATATTATGCATTTAGAATATTTTTGGGGGATAATCCTGCTTTTTATTTATTGCAGTGGCATAAATTTGTTTCAGTATTATCGTTTATCTTCTATATTTTCTTCAACAATGACAAGCTTACTTACATGGTACTAACTAACAAAAATAAAAGGAAAAATAAAAAAAAACAATATTATAATAATTACAGCTATTACAACATAGTCTCATTCACATCTTCACATCTGCTGTACCAATTAGATTTCTTAGCACGACATCTCTAACTGCAAATAAACAACACAGTTAGAATCTGTCTCAGTTTTGTGCAAATGAACAAGAAGATGGCTGCATTGTACTTACTGTCGGCACTGTCCAGTATGCCAGATTCTTGTAGGGAACGAATGCAAGAATCTACCAGCTCAAGGCCTGTGGTCAGCTCATCCTCAATGTCCTTCTGTCCATCTGCTGTGGAGCAAAGGAGAAGATGGTCAGAAAGATGGATTACACAATGACAACATGCGAATCAAAACTAATATTTGTGCTGTTTCTCAGATTTTTTTTCTCAATTTGTCAAACAAATACACATGGATCAAACACTACAGATCCAAGTGTAGACTAGACACATCACCAAAATGTATTTGGACGCAATATTGCAGCTTGTCTATCCCAGCACAAACTCATTATATTCTGTTGTTAAAGACTAATGTAAAGGTGCTTCATGTAACTTTCCTGGTGGGAGGTCTGTCAAACGCTCAAATGCCTGAAATGTTTCACAGTATGATATTAAAACTTTCTATCTTCATGGTGACGAAACCAGACCAAGTTAAGGGTCAGATTTGTGAAGAGGCAACCCCGCTCACAGTCAGAATGTCTGTTTTTATAACTATTTTTGAGCTATAAAACCACCTGTATATAAAAATCATTGTATCATTAGTCTGTCTATCTCTCTAAAGCTCAAAATGCTCTGTTCCACCTTGTGATGTCATAGTTTTCCAGTTAACCTTTTACCTTGTGTTCAGTAGAGATTGGCAATTCCAGGGCAGAAATCACCCAAATGATCCTACTGAAAGTGTATGCAGTTTAAAAACACAGTAGAGCACTTCCTGCATTACCACATGACATCACAAGGTGGAAGAGGGTGTTGTCTGTTTGAGAGAATAATTCAGCCTAAATACGCAAGAGTTTGTATGTTAAACAAGTGCCAATAGAATAAAACAAAACTCTAGGTATATTTGTGATGAGGAAACAACATTACAACAAAGATCAGAAAACAGAGTAATATTGGCCCTTTATTAATTATTAATCATAAGTAATGATTCCAAATAGTATTAAAAAGTATAAAATACCTTGTGCATTCCAGCGATACTGCTCATCTGAGGAGCTGCAAAAGAAAGTCAATAGGAACATTGTTAGAACATGTGTCATAACCATGCTTTTTCATCATTGATCCATGTTCCTTTATTGTTACTTTAAGAAAATTGACACACACAGACAGCCACTCATCCACACTCACCCATAAGGGCAAAGATGAACCTTTCAAAAGTTAATGATATGTTCCAAGTATTTCAACAAAGAGTGCATTTAAAAATGAAACTACTATATTTTAAAATCGACAATTGTTACCCCAAAGAATTGTTAATTTATACCCACAGGTGCCTTGCTGACTTCCAATTGACACAGTATTGACAGGTGGTTGAAAATAAAGGAAAAACAAAGACAAGCAACTGAGAAATGCATAGCGAGTATTGAGCTAAGAGATCAATGTAAATGTAGACACAGGCACACTCGCTGTTTATATATATATATATATATTTATATTTGGACTGATAAGACTTGATTTAAACCATTAACAGTCTGTCTGGGGTTATCCTATTTAGGCTGCTTGTTATTTCACAAACTTTGTAATTGAATGTCTGTCAGATGCTGTGCATGTGCATCTTGTTACTATTGAACCATTAGTGTCTAAAATGCCTCCAAGGGTTATTTAATGTACACTGTAGCTGAAGTATATGTGAATTGGAGAATACATTTACATATGTTTATCTGAGCTTTTGTATGCTTGGTTGCGTGTAATGGACAACCAGAGATGAGCCCGTGGTTCTAAATAGCCATAATGTAACAGAGTGAATAAATCTATTTTGCTCTAAAGAGGCTGGTTTCAAAAGAATCAGTGTCACAGAATTTTTTTTATGTGACTATGAGTGGTGTTTGAATAGACTCGACATTTTATAACACATAATAGACAGCTCTGTAGTTAATTCTCCAGTCACGATAAAGAACTTTGCTTTCAAATCCAAGTGTGAATCACCAAAAAGTATTCACAATCAAATAGAAATTGGAACTAGAAATCAGACCAAAGGTTGCTGTTTTAGGTTGAGTTTAGGGCAGAGTTTTAAGGTACATTTGCTGTCCTTTATTGAAAATTGTCCCCTGCGTTTGACTCACCCTTCAACGCCACTGGAGCAAATTGTCATGAGCAATGGTGCCCAGGGACCAGTCTCCAAATCTTGAGCTAGGCTTAGTCAGGACTACCCTAAGGTGCACGAAGCAACATTTCTAGTGGAGGGTGCACCAGCTGCTTGTCTCCATGGAAATATTAATGCTTTATCTAGAATGTCCCACAGTATAGATTAAACCTACAGTATCTATTACAAGGGAGACAAGCAGGTTACAGTACTACGCTACTTTACAATTGAGATCTGTGGAGAGTCGTCCCTATTCACAGAAGGAATTATTGTATTTTTGAGCAATAAAAATTCTTAATGAATAGATGCTAGATGTAAATATTTAATGCCATACCATGGGACATTCCAGGCAAAGTAATAACATCTCCATGGATACAACTAGGTAGCAAACACTCAACCACAAAAGTTGGCCAGTGCACCAGGATTTTATCTGTTGTGCATGTTTTGGGTTGGGAGAAGCATTCAAACTCCACACAGAAAGGGAGTCAAACCCACAACCTCACAAAACAGGTCAAGACCAAGGTCATGTTGAGACATCGTGCAATTTTTAGAAGGTTGGACCAAATGAGCAGATCTGGACATATAATAAATCGTGATGACAAAAGGAAACTTGAAACCCTGAACTGTAAGGAACTCCAATTTTGCTTTCATATTAAAATGCATCAAAATCAAGAGACAAAAATTCACAAGCAGGTATTTTAGTCAAGCTCTTTACTATTTCAAGTTCAGTCTCAAAGTCCTGACCCATGAGAAGGCATGAATACAAATCAGAGCTATCAAAACAGAAATCCAAGTTTGAGCCAACTAAACTTAAACTAGTATCTGTTACAAAACCAAAACAATACAAACTTTAGAAAAACAGCCAATTGCAAAGTGAATTCATACTGCATATTTATGGAAAGCCACATTACAGGTGTGCTACTGTCATTGCCAGCCCAATTTATAGTGAGTGAAAATTATCCAGAGTCATAAGAAATCCAAAGAAAACAGGAGAGCAGATGCTACTTCCTTACAAATCAAACAGGCTCATCTGCAGAATAAACTTGGATATGCTTGACATTTAGGCATGACTTGTGTTTATCTTTCTCTCCAGATGCTGCTTCCTCTGATTCTGTTTTATTTAAAGGCCTTTATTATGCAGCACAATATCACAGTCATGCAACAGCGCAGTGACTAACAAGGACACAAGTTTGCATGCAAAAAACATTCTTTATCTGAGAAGAAATTCAATCATCCAGTGCTGAGGTCAAATTTTATGTCGCCGTGTCCTTAAAAGTCTCATAGTACGCAAAATTCTGATCCATGTTATAATGTTGTTTCCTCCTCACAAACATACATAAAGTTGTGTTTTGTTTCATTCACACATGTTTAACACAAACAGAAAACACATTGGTCCACCTTGTGATGTCATGTGGTAACGCAGGAAGTGCGCTACTGTGTTTTGAAAATCCATACACCTTCACTAGAACCATTTGGATCACTTCAGCCTTGGAATTGTCTGTACTTAACTAAAGGTAGCTGTTAACTTGAAAACTACCGCTTCATGACATCACAAGGTAGAACAAAGCATTTTGAGCGTTGGATATGTCAGACTAATAATAAAGGATTACTCAAACATGTGTGAATGAAACAAAACACAACTCTAGGTATGTTTTTGATGAGGTAACAACATTTTAACATGGCTTAAAGCTCACAAGAGTCAGTTTTGTGTAATATAGGAACTTTAAGTAATACACTTCAACCACATTCATACATGAATGTGGTGAGTGTCGATGTTGTGAAGGCTGATGGCGTAAATTGACAGCTCTATTTACGTCAGTCCACCCCAGGGCAGCTGTGGTTAGAGGAGCTGCTTACCACCATCAAGTGTGAAATGAATGAATAATGCACAAAACTGTATAGCAGCTTTGAGTGTCTGGAAGAGAACTATATAAAACGAATGCATTATAATCACATTTCAAACCTTTCCGGAAAAGATGTTTTATAGTCACAAAATACATTGGCATCCATTAGTCAGTGGAAATTGTGTGCAGTATGAAATAAGACAAGCTTTTCCATTTACTGTATAGCACAGATAGATAGATGATTAATGCATGTACCCAAATAGTGATTAAAATTATAAACTACTTAGAAAGATACTGAGATTAGATTTGGTACACAGCAGGCTTTAATAAATGGAAAATTGAATGATGTAAAAGAGGTCATGATTTTAGTACAAAAAAGAAGACAGTTTGACAATAGATGTAATTTAGCAGGGACTCTTACATAATAATCCTTTAAGAGAAAATCGTATCTGTAATTTAATGAAATGTCATTTGCACACAGGATGTTTGAACCAGTTGAAGTTCTGACTCAGAGGCCATTTTAACTAAACTCCCCATGTAGGAGTGACCTTGATTCATGTAGGCCAAAGTCAGACAAAAAGGAGGCTTGCTAAGAAAGAAACTGTGCTATTATCAGGACAAATATGACAAATACAGCTACAAACTTAGCTTTTGACCAAATGATTTAGATCTGAATAATAATCATAATTTGGAGAACTGTGTGGCATACACAATTAACATTTTGCATTTTGTGAATCACCAGTCTGTTTGTATGACCTTTCTAAATCATGTTATTGTCAAACACTTGTTACTGAATGTCATTATTAGCCTTCTAGTGTTCAAACTCAATTTCGATTTAGCATTTTTATAGTTCTGATAAAGCTCAAGGTCAAAAGAAACATGAAATTTTGTCCTGTTATTATAGTTTTTGTCAATACTTGCTTAAATGAGTATCTGGTTTCTATACTAGTTTTAGTTTATGATTTTCAATACTTTTAACAACGCACTCTGTCAAACACCAATCTTCTTCAGGCCTTGCACCACCATTTGGCAACCACTCTCTAGACTGACTGCTCTATCCTTTTGTGGTAAAACTTAAAACAGTTGAAAATCTGTCTGATGATGCAAACGGAGTCAGAGGTATCCAGTGGAGTGGACTTGGAGAAGAAGTGACGAAAAGACCCACATTGTCACGGATGAGGGACTGGGAAAAGTACTGCATTATTCCACAGCATTGCACCCTCTTGCATGCAGTGCCACTACTCCGCACAGCCCGTATAGTCACACTAAGGGTGCTTAAAGAGACATTTTAAAACTACTCCCTGCTGTCTACAATAACTGGGCAAATGTCAGCAGATAGGAGTGTAGAGAGTAAGAGTCTACATGGGATCCGAAAATCTAGTATGAGTAGTAGAAGTAGAAGTAAGATATATCTATATAAAAAAAAAGTTTAATATAGTGTTTCTTGTTTTGGAGGTATGCAAAATTTAATTATAGTGTGTTGTCTATATGTAGGGAAGGCCTTCAAGCCAAAATAAAAAAAATAATAATGTGAACATGGTTATATTTAAAGTACAACAACTCACCCTTATGTAATAGAAAATCTTTGTATATATTGTCAGGATGCCTTATTTGACACGAGTCTATTGCTATTTTTCTTATTTATTTTATTATTACCATTTATATTTTTGCTTTTTGTTATCATAATATAATGTGATGTATGAGCTACTGTGTTCAAATAGTTTCCCTTTTGAATCAATAAGGTTTGTCTAAGTCTAAGTTATCCCCATATTATTGTTAATATATTGTGTATTTTTAATAGATATATAATAGATACAGGTTCTTCAAAGTATGATCACTCAAGTTGAGGTATTGGTACTAACTGCTCTTGAGTATAATATAATCTACTATAACTACTACACCTACCACTGCAACCAGCAATTACCAGCAACAAAACAGCAAAATCATTCCTATTACCCGTGGTACTATGACTAATCAAGTATTGAGAAAGTCCTCTTTGAATATCTTGCAATAAGATAGATTACTGGAGGCCTATTGCACAAACCTCCCACACTGTCTACTGTAAGTATAGG